CGGGCTCGAGGACACAAAGATCAAGGGCTTCCTGCCCAAGGGCGAGCTGGGCGCAAAGGTCCAGCACTCCAAGGTACAAGAAGGCGCTGTCTTCATGTGTCTGGTGACCGGTCTTAACTCGGATGGAAAGATCGTCAAGCTTTCAGCCGATCAGACCAAGTCTGGAAACCTGACTAAGGGCAACACACTTACAGATGCACCTACCATCGACGTCTTCCTCCCCGGTACCGCAGTCGATGTACTCGTTGCGGATACCACAGCTAGCACGCTCACTGGCAAGATTCTCGGACTGATCGACGCGACCGCCGATGCATACCACTCCGGAGCCACAGAGAAGGGTGCGGACATTTCGCAGAAGCACAAGCTTGGCTCAAAGGTCAAGGCCAGAATCCTGTTCACCTGCCCTGATGCAGAACCGAGGAAGGTCGGCATCTCTCTGGTCGACCACGTTGTTTCGCTGTCTTCGCGCATGTCCGGAAAGCCAAAGGAGCGCAAGACACCTCTCGAATACATGCCGGTCTCCACCATTGTCGAGGAAGCCAAGGTCATCAAGGTGTCACCCGGACTAGGCGCCTTCTTTGAGCTCGGCGTTCGCGACGTTATTGGCTTTGCACACGTTTCCCGCCTCTCCGACGACCGCGTTGATGTACTCTCTGAGGACGCAGGTGCTTACAAGCTCGACACAAAGCACCGCGCGCGTGTCATTGGATACAACGCAATCGATGGGCTCTTCCAGCTGTCGCTGGAGAAGAAGGTCTTGGATCAGGCATTCCTGCGGATCGAGGACATCAAGGCAGGACAGGTCGTCAAGGGCAAGGTCCACAAGCTCATTGCTGACAAGAAGGGCGCCGCCGCTGTCCTTGTCAATTTGTCCGAGGGTATTACAGGTCTCGTCTCTGAGCTACATCTTGCAGATGTCAAGCTCCAGCACCCAGAGCGTAAATTCAGGGAGGGCGTACCAGTCACCGCACGCGTTCTCTACACCGACCCTGCGAGACACCAAATCCAGCTTACTCTCAAGAAGTCGCTCGTCAATTCTGATGTTGAGCCTTGGACAGACTACTCGAAGGTCAAGGAGGGCGCCACTGGACCCGGTATCCTTGTCGATGTTCGCCGCAATGGTGCCACAGTCCGCTTCTATGGAGATGTCAAGGCATGGCTTCCAGTTGCCGAGATGAGCGAAGCGTACATTGAGGATGCCGGCCGTCACTTCACCAAGGGCCAGGTGGTCAACGTTCGCGTACTTTCCGTTGACCCCGAAGAGCGCCAATTGCTCGTTTCCTGCAAGGACCCTGCCGCCGTCGATACTAATAAAGAGACTGCTTTCAATGCGTTGAACCCTGGTGACATCACTAGGGGTACAGTAGTCGACAAGACAGATGCGTTGGCTACACTCGATATGGGCAACGGTGTCAAGGGTCTTCTTCGTATCGGTCACCTGACTGACGGCTCTGAAAAGAAGGACATCTCCACGATGAAGAAGATTCGTGTTGGTGGTATTTTGGAGGACCTCGTTATCCTCAACAAGCAATACAAGTCCAAGAACGTTACGGTCTCGAACAAGCCAAGTCTGCGAAAGGCTGCGCAGTCTGACAAGCTTGTCACCAGCTTTGCGGATGTCAAGGCTGGTGCTACGGTCTACGGTTTTGTGCGCGGCATTCTTCCAGATAAGGTGTTCATCGAGCTTGGCAACAACATCAGCGGTGCTGCGTTCAAGTCGCAACTCACGGATGATATGCTCCGATCGCCCAACTTCGGTTTGCGCAAGGACCAGACCGTCACGGCCAAGGTCACTCACGTGGACGAGGCAAAGGAGCTCTTCTGGTTGTCAATGAAGGCTGACGCTGACGTTGACATGGACAGCGCGTCTAAGGTCGCCGAAACAGCTGGCGAGGCTCTGGTTGATCCCGTTGACTCCAAGATCACTTCCACGAGTGATATCAAGTTTGGTGTCACTGCCGATGTCCGCATTAGGTCAATCAAGAACACGCAGCTCAACGTCGCTCTCGGTGAGAATGTGCAGGGACGCATCTCTGTTGCTGAGATCTTTGAATCGTGGGAGGATATCAAGGACAAGAAGAACCCGTTGGCTCAATTCCAGATGAACGACGTCATCAAGACCACAGTCCTTGGCCGCCATGATGCTCGCAACCACCGTTTCCTTCCCATCACACATCGGTCCAGCAACAAGACACCCACATACGAGCTGACTGTGAAGAAGCAGAAGCTGTCCAGCGAGTCTGATGTCCTGAGCCTCGAGAAGATCTCTCCCGATGCCACACTCGTCGCCTTCGTCAACAACATCGCGGACCGCTTCGTCTGGGTCAATATCTCGGCCAACGTTCGCGGACGCATCGACTTTTTGGATCTCACCGATGACCTCGAGAAGTTGTCCGATATTGAGAACAATTTCCCTGTCGGCTCTGCCCTCAAGGTCCGCGTTAAGTCAGTTGACGTCGCCGCTGGGCGTCTAGATCTGACTGCAGCATCCTCGGTGACTGGCAACAAGCTTGCACTGAATGACCTGAAGGTCGGCTACGTTCTGCCTGCTCGTGTTACCAAGACACACGACACATCCATTGTTGTCAAGATCAGTGAGGACATCGCCGCACCTATCTATCTTGAGCAGCTTGCGGATGATTACGACAAGGCCAAGCCTTCAGAGTTCAAGACTGGTGATGTGCTCCGTGTGTGCATCGTTGACATCGACATTCCCAACAAGAAGCTTGGTCTGTCAGCTAGACCATCGAAGGTTCTTAGCTCTTCCCTGCCGGTCAAGGACCCTGAGATCAAGGACCGATCGGATCTTAAGGTTAATCAGGTCGTTCGTGGCTTCATCAAGCAGATTACTGACAACGGTATCTACGTGCGTCTTGGCCCTAAGGTTGAGGCATACGTTCGTATCAGTGAGCTGTCGGACGCTTATATCAAGGACTGGAAGGCTGCGTTTCAAGTCGATCAGCTCGTCACCGGAAAGGTCATCTCGAACAAAGACAACATGCGCAACCCTCAACTCAGCTTGAAGACTTCAGTCATCCAGGGCGAGTACATTGAGCCCATTGGCTGGGCTGACATTGAGGTTGGCCAGATAGTGACTGCTAAGGTCCGTCACGTTGAAGACTACGGTGTCTTCTTGCTTGTCGACAAGTCGAACAACATTAGCGGTCTTTGCCACATCTCTCAGTTGGCTGACACACAGGTCGACAAGGAAAAGGTCAAGGAGATGTACAAGAAGGACGATGCTGTCAAAGCGAAGGTCTTGAACGTTGATCCCAAGAAGAGGAAGATTGGCTTCACGCTCAAGTATTCCGAGATTAAGGGCGAGAGTGATGAGGACGAGGACATGGAGGACGCATCTGACGCCGAGGCTGACGACGATTCCGAGATGGAAGACGGCGGCATTGAGCTCGATGACGATATCGACATGAGAAGTGTTAAGAGCGCCGACAGTGAAGAGGAAGACGACGCCGCTGAAGACTCCGAGGACGATTCAGACGCGGAACCTGCCAAGGCTTCAGGCCCAGGTCTGAGTGCAGCTGGCTTTGATTGGACAGGCGCAAACCTTGACTTCGACGAGAAGAAGGCGGCATCTGACGACGAGTCTGACGATGAGCCTAGCAAAAAGAAGAAGAAGAGCAAGAAGGCCACCATCAAGGAGGACCGCACTGGCGATCTCGACGCGTTCGGTCCCCAGTCTGTCGCAGATTACGAGCGCCTTCTCCTCGGTCAACCCAACAGCTCTGAGCTCTGGGTGCGCTACATGATGTTCCAACGTGAACTGAATGAGATTGAGAAGGCTCGTCAGATCGCCCGTCGAGCACTTGCCACCATCAACCCTCGCGAAGACAAGGAAAAGCTTAACGTCTGGACTGCTCTGCTGCATCTCGAGAACGACTTCGCCAATGAAGAGGTCGTAGAGTCGACCTTCAAGGAGGCGTGCCAGCAGCAAGACGACCGCGAGATGCATGAGCGCATGATCAAGATCTATATCTCATCCAGCAAGCTTGACGTAAGTTGATCCCAAGTTACTACTTGTGCCGCATATGCTAATTGTTCAACAGAAAGCAGACTCGCTATATCAAGCCATGACCAAGAAGAAAGCCTTCACCGCTGACCCCGAGTTCTGGCACGGCTACGCAAGCTTCCTGATGGATACGCTCTCACCTCCCTCACCAACACGCGCCCGTGCCCTCCTGCAACGCGCCACGCAATCCGTTCCCAGCGCGCAACACCGCTACCTGACGCAGAAATTCGCAGCGCTGGAGTTCAAGAGTGAGAACGGCGACGCAGAGCGCGGTCGCACTATCTTCGAGGGCCTCGTCAGCACATATCCCAAGAAGGGCGATGTGTGGGATATCTACATCGATTTGGAACGCAGCCACGGTACGGATGAGCAGGTCAGGGCGCTGTACGAGCGCGCGGCTAAGGCGGGTGGAAAGTCAAAACGCATTGCCACTGTGTACAAGAAGTGGGCAGAGTGGGAGAGCAGCAATGGTAACGCCAAGGGCGTTGAGCGTGTCAAGGCGCTTGCAGAGCAGTGGAGGGAAGAGAAGGGTGCCAAAGACGACGAGTAGATCTGACAAGAATTGTTGCATTGGGCGGCGTTGCATATCAGGTTGATAAAAGAATGTCCATTTTCTCTTCATGTTCTACACATAAGTCTTCTCGAGTTGTCTAACTCCAGCGTTCACCGTACCTTTGGGAGACGACGGCTCTGCATTGGGTACTAATGAGCTCTCAACCATGAGAGCCGCCGATATTGATGGATTTGAGATGACCACATACAGCGGTCGAAACCGCTTCCAATATCTTTATGTGTAATTTCATGTTGGCTACACATTGTCTGCCATGATGCTTACCACGAACGGATACATCTCGTGCGCGGAATCGCGCCAAAAAGGGAAGCCACGCCCCATCGCTCCTTCCTTCAGTTCGACATAGTCACAAAGCACGCCCTGAAAAGCAAGCAGAGAGTAAAAAGTAAGTTGAGAGGCAAAAAGTGACCTAACCAGGGGTCGAACCTGGAATCTCTTGATTGCGGAGTAATCGTAGTCAAGCGCCTTGCCATTGGGCCATTAGGCCAGTTGTTACTGATTTGATGGAAGCTGTTGAAAGATTTACAATTATAACTGCAGCATTGAAAGTCATCTCCGGAACATATTGCACACGTAGAACTCAGGACCCGCAACGGCGTTGTGGTTTTTGCGTGACGTAAACCGATCTCGCTCATTAGCGCCAGAAAGGTTCAACCCCTGGTTGACAGCTGTCACACCGCAAAAATCGTTGAATATAAAAGCAAGGTGATTGTAGCCAGCATAGAGTTTATCTACACTTGAACAGAGTCTATATAAACATTGACTACCTCCCATTCTTTTCAAAGATTTAGACTGTCTATCCGATTCTTTCTGCCACGCGAGAGAGTGGTTCGGGCTTTGCGATGCTGAACGAAACATCACGCCCTCAACTTTGAAAGGAGGTGTATCACGGTACTGTATTGTAATCCGCAATCAGTGTTGTCTCCAGTGATTTTGGAAGATACCTTGACCTTGGCCCATTCCTTTACGCAATCAGATCTCCACAAGTCGCCTTAATGGTTGACCGTCAGCCTTGCGCAACGCCTCCACCACAATGAAGATTGCAGCGCCAATAGTAAATCGCACGGACCATGGACTATGCAGATTACGGAGGCATTTGCGATACTTCTGCGGTTAGTTTGCAGTGCGATGGGATGTTTGAGAACTACCATCTTTCCTGTGCAACAGACCGATCGCTCTGCATCGCAAGGGCTGCGTTCATAACCAACTTGGTGCTGCCAATTCTGTCTGCTGACCATGGAGAGCTTCCACTGTCCACTCGGTAAATTTCAGATCATTTGAGAACGCTGTTGGGTTGTGTTGAATTTTCGTGTGCTTCCGTGAACCTGGGTCAGATAGTAACATCTGCAACGCGATCAGGCAACAACGACGATGAGAGGTATCGTAGTTACCCTCCTTGACTCGAACATAGACACGCATGTAATTGGGTTGCTTCATATCTCATTAAATTTCGCGTGATCTAGCTCTATGTTCTATTCAACGCTTGACCTGCCTCCAGCCTAAGCCGAAGCGGCTCCATACGGCACGGCCTGCGCGCTCGTAATGTCTACGTATCCGTAGTTCTGCATCTTGCTGTCACTTGCCATCTTCTCACCCCACGATCCCATGTCCTTCATGAATGCGTCGAGGTTCTCCTGCTGGCTGAGGTCGATAGGCTCCTGGTCCTTGCCAACCTGGCGCATCTGTGTGCCGGCAGCAACGTTGGTGAGACCGAAGTTGTTGTCATCCATGGCCTGCTTGATAGCGCCCACGACCTTGCCGTCGAGGATGTCCTTGCACAGGTGTGGCTCCTGAGCAAGAGGGCGCGCAAGTCCAACGCCGTCAACAACATCGAGCGCCTTGACCATTGCGCCGACGGACTTGAAGCCACCGGTGATATATGTCTTGGTCTTGGAGAGGACGGGGGCGATGGACTCGGCGAACTCGAGGAAGAAGCCTTCGCGCTTCTTGGTGGACTCGCGCTGGTGCCCGAACGCAAGCTTCTCGTATGTACCACCGGACAACTCAACAAAGTCAAACTTGTTCTCCTCGAGAATCTTGCAGATCTGCTTTGCTTCCTCGGGGTTGAAGCCCTTGTCCTGGAACTCGACGGAGTTGAGCTTGATGCCAACGACGAAGCTGCTCGAGACGCGCTTGCGGATGGCGTCGGTGATCTCGACGATAATGCGGGCGCGGTTCTCGATCGAGCCGCCGTACTTGTCGGTGCGCTGGTTGGTAGTGGGAGACAGGAACTGCGCGATGAGGTATCCGTGGGCTCCGTGGAGCTCGATGCCGTCGTAGCCTGCCTTCTCGAGGTACTCGGCGGAGTGCGCAAAGCCTTCGATGATGTTTGCGATGTCCTGCTCAGTTGCTGCGTGAGGCTTCTCGAAGGTCATGCCCATGATGTTGCCCTCAAGCTGAACATCGCTAGCGGAGACGGGGTTCTTCTGGATGCGCGACTCAACTTGTCGTCCGGGGTGGGAGACCTGGCCAACAAATAGAGAGCCGTGCTTCTTGGCTTCAGTTGCCATCTCCTTGAACGCCTCGAAGCGCTCGCCAGAGAATTCGGACTTGCGGGGAATGATGGGGTTGCCGGCAGCCTCGAGATGATCGTACTCGATCATGATGTTGCCGGAGAGAATGAGGCCAATGCCGCCCTCTCCCCATCTCCTGTAGAGGTTGATGAGGTTCTTAGAGGGCACACCGCGAGCCTCGAGGTTCTCAGCGTCCCAGCTGGAGATGCGCTCAGTCATGGCTCCCTTGAGGAAGCGGTTCGGCGCTGTCTGTCCAGAGAACTCGAACTTGAGGGGCTGACCCAAGGGGGAAGCATCCTTGGAGTCGGACTCGTATCTCGCTGCTGGTGCCATGTTGATGTGAAAGATGTCGTGGAGCTGTCGTAAAGTGGGAATAGTCTAATGGGTATCTTAAATCTAAAGCAAACTTAGAATGGGGAGCTGTAAGTAAGTATCGAGAGCGGCGAGTGCAGAATAGGTTTCTTTAACACTTGCACATTTTCATCTTACAAATCAACAACCATGGCCGTCAGTTCCCGAGGCTTCGACGTGGTGTGGACGTGTTGCAGGCTAAAAGTCACGACGACGTCATGGTCAACCCACACATTTCCATTTCAAGGGTCTTCACCGCCCTGACGAGGCTCGACGGCGGAGTCGAGACCAATTGGAAAAAGGTGATCTCGGCGAGATTGTTCGCGGAGTACCGGCAATCGAGTTTGCCCTCATCTGCCGTTGTAGGGCTGTGGGGTGCTTCCGTCCCGGTCATTGGCCGCTCAGTGCGGACGGATTGGTCTGTGACTCTAGTATTACATCTTGAGCCTGACGCAGCTGTAAGTTATGTAGAGGAGGCTAGATGCATAATCCAACGTGCGTGCCGAGCGTGTCGTGAAAGTAAGCAGCTGCAGGAACAGAGGGGCGACTCTGAGGCTGAAGGAAGCGGCGTGCACGGTCAGCCAAACGCCTCGTCCGCGGGCAAAGAAAGCATGCCGCTAACCACAGCCTTACGCAACCTCCAGACCGTCTACAAAGACGAAACCACTCTTCTGGACGAGGCTTTGACAGTAGCGATGATGGAGAATAACCCTTCTGCCAGGTCTGAGGCAGGAGCCCTTCAATGTCAGATGGCTGATCCTTCTACCCCGCAAGCACGGTGACGTCGATTCTGTAACCATGTAGGAAAGGACTCTTTATGAGGATGCACTCTGTGCATCTGGAATACACCACTACCCTTCTTGCCAATATGAGTTTTTTCTACTTCATCGTTTGCATCCTTCTCTCTTGTCGAAGAGCGCTGTCGGTCCTCGAACACGCCAGGCAGGACCAGGGCTTCGATGTTCTTGACTATGTAGACCCGTTGATTGGATCTAGGAGCGGTGGGAATGTCTTCGCTGGAGCAACGCTGCCATATGGTATGGCTAAAGGTCCGCACCAAGCCAAAGAGCTTCATGGTAACTACAATTGATGAACGTACCAGCTGTTGCCGATGTAGACGGAGAGAATACTGGAGGCTTCTCCACTGATGGAAGCAACATCACTGGTTTCTCGGCTCTTCACGATTCTGGAACTGGCGGAAACCCGAGTTTGGGCAATTTCCCTATCTTCCCTCAAGTCTGTCCAGGCGACGACATCAACACCTGCAACTTTCCGATCGCTGCACGGGCTACGGCCTACAAGAACGATTCGGTGAAAGCGCGACCGGGTTACTTCGGGGTAGAATTGGAGAACGGTATCCATGCCGAGATGGCCGTTGCTGAGCATACTGCACTGTTTCGTTTTGACTTTTCCAAAGCACTTACCGCAAACGCGAGTGGAAGCCCGGTGATTCTTCTGGACCTCACTGATCTGTGGGCAAGCAGACAAAACGCGTCAATCAGCATTGAAGCAAGTGATGGTGAAGATACTGGACGCATGAAAGGAAACGGCACTTTTCTGCCAAGTTTCGGCGCAGGGTCATATCAAGCGTACTTCTGTCTTGATGTACAAGGAGGCACGATCAAGGATTCGGGTGTATGGGTCAACAACCGAGCCGGTACCGAGCCCAAGCAACTATACGTAACAAGAGGATTCAACCTATTCTACCTACAAGCGGGCGGCTACCTCAGATTCCAGAAACCACTGAACGGAACCCTTGACGCACGTATGGGTCTCAGTTTTATCAACACCGACCAGGCCTGCCAAAACGCGGAGAAAGAGATACCAGGACCCGATCTTGGCTTTCAAAGCCTAGTCACTAGAGCTGAACATGCATGGCGCGCGAAACTCGCCCCGATATCACTATCTACAGGCAATGTCGACTCCAGCTTCGTCACCAGTTTCTGGAGCGCAGTCTATCGCACGATGATCTCGCCTCAAGACTATACAGGGGAGAATCCTCACTGGCAGAGCACAGAGCCATACTTCGACTCCTTTTACTGCATCTGGGACATGTGGCGCGTGCAACTGCCCTTTCTCACCATCCTAGACCCCAAGATGATGTCGGACATGGTACGCAGTTTGCTGGACACGTACAAGCATCGCGGTTGGCTTCCGGACTGCATGATGAGCACCTGCAAAGGGTGGACGCAAGGCGGGTCCGACGCGGACAATGTTCTCGTTGACGCGTACGTCAAAAACCTCACTGGTATTGACTGGGAGCTGGCATATTCCGCGATTCTCAACGACGCCGAGAACGAGCCGCTCGAATGGAGCGTCGAAGGCAGGGGCGGCCTCAACTCTTGGAAGACACTAAACTATATACCGTATCTAGATTTTGATCCTGTGGGCTTTGGGACCAACTCGCGCAGCATCTCAAGAACCCTAGAGTATAGGTATGTCGACTCCAGCGTGCTGATGCTGCCCTTCTCCACGGTATATGAAAAGCCGGGCATGATCACACCACGCAGATCGTTGCTGGAAACCAGTGGTTTCCCACGACACAAGAGCCTCCACTGATTTGACACAGCTACAACGACTACAACCTCGCAACGCTGGCGCGAGGTCTCGGCAAAGAAACCTA